AGCACACGTGCCACGTTGAGCAAGGAAGTAGCAGAAAGACCCAAGAACTGAGGTAAAGCTGCATGTTATTAGCTGTTTTGTTGTTTCAACGTATGAACTTATTCCATTATGATGATGATGTGCCATCTTTTCATTGATAGGCAGCTGACAGGAGAAGAGCTCCAAGGGTTAGATTTAGAGGAATTAAAACAGCTAGAGAAATTACTTGAAGGAGGCCTTAAACGAGTTACACAAGCAAAGGTTTCTGAAGCCCCAATCCACCTCTCTTTCTCAGTAAATCAGGTTTAAATGTGAAACTTTTGTACATTGTGATTGCTTTTTATGTTTCAGGATGAACGGTTTTTCAAAGAAATCAGCACCCTCAAAAGGAAGGTATATATTCCCAATATTTCTGTCCTTTCTTGGTCATATGATCTTCGGTTCTGATAAATCACTTTTGCCCTTGTTGAATTTGAAGGGAGTAGAACTGAAGGAAGAAAACCAGCGTTTGAAAGAGAAAGTGAGTGTATATTAATCTGCAAAACTCTTTCCTACTTTCCTGCACGCTTTCATTTCATTCGACGGTAAAAGATGATTTTGGTATAGATGGAGAATTTACCACCTCATGTGGCTGAGCAAGGCCAACCATCAGCGTCCAATGGCCACGCATGGAGAAGCTTAAGCTCTGACATTTCTCTCAGATTGGGGTAACTCATTTTTGACAGTATTCATACATTTTTTAACTGTGCAATCACTTCAGATTATTAAAAAAAATATTCATACATAGTACATATGCACTTTCGTGACGTTTTCAAAGCATTACAAAAAAAAAACCCTTTTTGATGTCTGGTTTCTGCCATAGAGCTTCGTCTGAGATTATGTTGGGATGCTTGCTTTGTTGCAGGTTATCTTACCCTAACTGAGTGTTGGAAAGGTTAGAGGGGGATGATGCCGAAGGGTGTTTGTTCATCATCATCATCATCATCTTATTATCTTCAAATGGCGTGCGTCTCTCAGTAAATATAGCATCTGTCTCCTGTATGTGTTATCATATTTATGTAACCAATTTATGGCCACAAATAAAGTTAGTGATTCTGTTCATGGAAAAACTTGATTACGGTGAATTTGGGTTTTCCATGCCTATTAATTTAAGTGTATAAATGATGAGCCATTTGTGATCTCAGTAAGCAATATATGTCGTAGCAAAATGTATAAATTTCCCATTTGTTCATAAGAGTTGCTGCATATTCGCCAGTAACCGGTTTTGCATCATTTTTGTATAACGTCAACATTTGATATTTTAGGTTAGGTCGTAGATTCTTTTGAGTTTTGATTATTTTAAATTCAAGCGACGTTAAATTTAATTATTTTTGTTTGAATTAACTTTAAGTTTGGGTTGGTTCCTATTCGCTTGATTATTTTTTTAATTAAAGACATGGATTGAATTTGACTTGATTGAATTTTTGGTTTTTCTTTTATAAAATTAAATTAAAGGATGATGTCTTATTTAATATACGTGTTTTAATAAAACGTTCAATAGGATTATTTTTTTTTACCAGTGTGACTATTTAATAAATTTAGGGTAAAATACAAAAATGATCCCTTAATTGTAGGATATTATTTTGTTAAGTCCTATGATTATTGGAAGATATAGAATGATCACTCAAGTATTCATATATTCTAAACTCGTCATTTTTTGTTAAAAAAATGATGGTCGTCTGAGCTAGACGTTAATCTGATGATTGAGATATGATAAAATTTGATCCAAGAATCGTTTCAATTGTATAGTCGTTTGTAATTTTAAAATCAAATTTTATCATAACCAATCAGCAAGTTAACGTTCAATTCAGATTGTCATCACTTTTTAACATAAAATGACGAGGTCGGAACATCTATAATTGGGGCGACTATTTTGCATCGTTTAATAGTCGGGAGACTCAACAAAACAATAACCTATAGTCAATCAAAGGACTATTTTGTAATTTTCAATAATCAAGGGACCTAAAAATAATACCCTATAGTTGGAGGACTGTTTGTGTACTTTACCCATAGATTTACAAGTCATTGAACTTGATCCTTACTTATTGTTGCAATATAGGAAGTATGGGCTTGAAGATGATGCAATTGACTATATTTGCTCATGCCTTGGCACTGTACCAAGAGCTAGTTGAGCCGGTACTAGGACTAAAATCGAGTTGAATAATGGACCGTAGTGGGCCGGTCCAGCCTACCAATTTGACCACCCTTACTCACGCAATAACAATTCAAGTAAAATTGAAAAAAGGAAACAGGGTGGAATTTGATTCGAAGTTCTCTTCTTCTCTCGCTTCCCATGGTTTTGAACAACCCATTGATAGAAGAGAAGAGAGAAAGCCAAAGGATGGGAGACGAGAAAGTAAAAGAGGAGGCGATGCGGATTATTGGGATGTTCCAAGTTCTTCCCCGTTTGGTGGTTTTCGATCTTGATTACACTCTCTGGCCATTCTACTGGTTGGTTTCCTTTCTCTCTGCTTCTACTTTTCTGGGTTTTCTTTCTTTTGTTTTTCCTTTTTAATATTTTTAGCATTTTTACGGAATTAGGGTCGTATGAAAATCAATACCCCCAAGTATTTACCTTTGATCTTATATAAATCAGGGCGTAATAGTGCTTATTACACGTGTAGCTGATGAGCAGATGAATTTCTGAATTTAGCGATTTAATTATCATTTACCAATGTTTATACGCTGAAATGAACTGAATTTCATCTTGTTTGTATGACAAATATGGTTGCCTGTAGTATTGTTCTGTGTATCTGTCTCTTGCTTTGTTTCTTTGTCTATTCCAGACATGAAATGGCAGTTTTTTGTTAGCTTTGGCCTTGGGTCGACATTTTTAATTGCTAATGTTTATTTAACGTGGTTGATTTTTCAGAGAGTGTCGATCCAAACGTGAAATGCCGTCGATGTATCCCCATGTTAAAGGCATAATAGCCGCACTCAAGGAAAAGGGAATCGATATGGCTATTGCCTCTAGGTCTCCTACTGCAGATATAGCTAACACATTCCTTGACAAATTGAACATCAAGTCTTTATTTGTTGCTAAGGTCAGTCAGAATCCTTTCTCATGTATGTACACTTTCTGTCTTGAAGGGTCTTGAAAGTGTTAATCCTTTCCTAACAATCGATGTTGCTCCAACTCTTCAATTTTTCTCAAAGTACCCGATTTTTTACACTAATGGCAAATGTACATTCAGACATGGATTTTTTAGGTCGACCCTTCCAACTATATGTAAAACACCTTTTTTTTTTTTTGAATATTTATGTATCAGACATGTAATTATCCGCACCTGACACCCTAATCCGAGTAACATAGCTACCAACTCGGGTTTTCAACAGCTGTATATAAAGGCCGTGTAGAAAGATGTACCTAAAATCTTTGCTCTTCTTGTGTCTTCTAAATAATAAAGTAAGCGTAATTTATTTCAGCATATTCTTACTTGTCCGGTAGACAATAGACCTCTGATACTGAACTGTTAAAGGCGACTGTTCTTATATATGTATTTTCTTTGTAATATAATAGTCCAACAGATAATTTAGAAGCAGTTGGTCATATATAAGTTCGGCTTTTGTTGCCTATTAATTACATGGTTTGGGGTTCTGTTTGTCAACACATGAATTTCATAGTGATTGAACAAGAACCGTTCATTTGTTTCTTTTCCTGTCACAATCGCATTCAATTATTCTTTTTGGATCATTCAGGAAATTTTTTCGAGCTGGACGCACAAGACTGATCATTTCCAAAGAATTCACACAAGAACAGGGATTCCCTTCAACTCAATGCTCTTTTTTGATGACGAGGATAGGAACATACAAGCTGTAAGAATGTGTTTTTTTTCTTGGCTCACCTCATGGTTTTGTACATTATTCCATCTCTTCATGTTTCTTAAAGTATGTGTCTAACACTTATATCCGATACATATTTCGATATGTGAGATATGACCCTTTAAGGACTCTCAAAGTACACAAAAAAAAAAAACTAAAAAAAACTAAAAAAAACTAAAGAGAAAATTGAGTTTACTTGTATTGGACTTAAATATGATATGACATTTACATCTAAATTTGGATAACATAGCTGGTATTTCATGGAGTTGGATACGTGGATCTTGTACGTTTATGCATTGTGATTTTAAGAACTTTATACTCTCTTTGTTATGGTCAGGACTACTTTGGTATCGTATGCTTATTTCACTCAACAGAATTTGTAATGACAATGGCAGGGCTCCAAGATGGGAGTAACAAGCATATATGTGGGTAATGGGGTTAATCTTGGAGCATTGAGACAAGGGTTAACAGAATTCACTGAAAATCAGAATGCATCCGAGAAGTAGAAGCAGAAATGGCTCAAAAAACACGCTCAAAATTCAAGTTCATCCAAGAAAGACCTGAAATGAGTAATTGCTCCATGCTAGTCCTTGGTCTACAGTACCAGAAAGAAATCAATATCATTTTCCAAAATTATGTGGAAACTTTTTGAAACCACATTCTATTTATAAATTAAATATGGTCTTTATATGTATATATTCATCGACTGATATCTTCTGTAGCACTTCTACTATATGATTCTCCTAGTGGTAGTTCAGCAATTGTTCAACCTCTTGCTATGTCTGTTGAACTTGCAGCAATGCTACATTTATAGAATAAATGAGGATATTATGTTCTATTAGAGAAATGGGTTATACTTTTAGATGTAGTTTTTTAAGATGAAATACAGAACACAATTCAAACTCATCTTGTTCAATGCTAGGTTGGTATGTATTTTATATAATCTTTTTCAAATAAGATATTTCATAAAATTCTGAAAAAATATGTAAATGTCATTAGTTTTATCTATTAAAAATCTTTCTTTGTTATTGACAACACACATCATGTAAGATATTTCTTTGTTATTTACAACACACATCATATAGATTCAACTGTTCGAATACAAACCTCAAAGAAAAATAATACTCTCTTTTACTAATGAAGTCGGTTCCATTAATTACTAATATACACATGTATAAATACAAGACGGGATGGCAAAATGAAGGTTCTGAACTAGAAATGTTCGCAAATTATTTGATATGCAATCCGAGAGAATTTCTACACGAAATGCTATTTCTAAGTCTCCTACATGAAGAAAGCATCAGAGAAGAATACAATGAAGCATCTTGGGAAGAAAAACTTAGTTCACAACAGGATCAAGATGTCCCATGGTTTATTTACTTAATCACACACCTTCCTTCATGCCCTTTCTGCCAACAGCATTTGTTCAAGTTCTTCTCTTCGTCTCTCCAATTCCTGCACATTAAAGTCGATGCGATTAACTTAGTTTCTTTTTCCTTATTTTGGAAAACAAAAAAGAATATTTGATGATACAATTAATTCACAACTATGATACTTTCACAATATTGAACTGTAATGAATATAAATCAATACCAAATTGCAAAATCTCCAATAGTTATCATGTTAAGGTGTTTCTTGATATCTTACAGGGATGTTAACCAATGTCATGCAATTAACGCATTGCTTTTTTTTTAATTCAATATCGTATCAACAATCACTTGTAATGCAGTGCAAGTGTGTGTTCTTGCTGTTCATGTGTCAACTTAAGAGCACTCGAGTATAATGTGGTAGGAGACGTTTGGATCCCAGAAACACATTTGCAGTATGACTAGACCTCCAACTGATCAAACAAAAGAATACATAAAAACCAATCATCAAAGTATGATGTAAACCAATAGGCCGAATATGAACTCTCTACCTCCAGATCTTTAACTGCTTGTTCCCTTGTAATTTCCTTTTCCTGGCGTGAACGTTTGAGCAAGCCAACGCATAAGAGTCCCTGACAAATCATTGATAAAATCAAGTAGTACACATAAACTCAACTCAAGCCACAGCTCTGAACCCCCTGGCTCAATTCCACCTCAAACTATATTTTTCACGACATGAAAATGTATAATAACCTTAAACCTATGTTGCTCCAATTCATAATTTTTTCTTGAACCATCCATGTATGACGCCCATGTTGGACATATTTTCAGACATAAGGATATGATCCTTCAAGGACATGGAAAAAACTTAGAAAAGTTCAAACATACCAATGTTAGACAAAAACCTGTATCCAACATAACACTGCATCCTAATTCGAGTAACATAGCTCTAAACTAAAATAAATGTTAAAACAATTAGCTAATAGATAGACGCCATGAAACTCAAACACACTTAGAACACAAGATTAAAGAAAAAAGAAATGGTAAGTCTGTAATTCAGTTGAATTAATATGATTCATAGTCTTGGTCAGTATTCTTTCAACTTTCAGCTGATTTTGCCTAGAAATTCCCATGGTAGCATAAGACGATAGGTTCATTATCTTACCGAAAAAACATAGACTACACCGCAAGCAAGGAGCAGATAGCTCGCTATGTTCTGAAGAAGAACAAGATCCCGTTGCCTTTCTGAATAATCAGGGAAAGCTCTCGTCATAACTGCAACACTGAAGTGAACAACAGCAAAGTTAGAAAGAAGAAGAAATTAAAAAGGTGATTATTCAATAAAAAATCGTAAAATTAAGTATTATTGCAGACTAGAAAATTGGTATTATAGGGGGAGAAACAGAAAAATCTTTCTGCAATATAAGACATACAAGATTTGAAGCATACCCCTACCAGCCCAGTACTCAAAAACCTGCATTTTTAAGTTAAAAAAATTCATCATTTGATGATTTATTCGAATTTAAATATCATATCGTCTATGAGGATATACATTCCTCTTCCCAAATGAAAAAAATCCTAACCTTCCAGAACTTGATTATGAATCCCCATTCTGTTTCCGCCAGAACCACAAAGAAAGCAAGTACAATCGCGTAACATCGGAAAATCCCATCAAAAACCTAATATTAGGAATATAAAAGGGTCAAAAAAATTTAAATAGAAAAGGAAAGGAAAAAAAAACTGATAAATTATACATACATCGGATCCATTCTTGAAAGATCGAACAGCAGAGAGAACATTAACAGCAATGCAGAGAATCGAAGCCAGAGAGGTTATAACTCTAAAGCATCGGCACACCACCAGAAACGGGTCAAGTCCCGGCCTTTGTCTGGCGCTCGAAGATGGTCCCGGCAGCACTGGCTCGCCGCCCTCTGGATCTCCATTTCTCGACATTTTGTGTTAAACTTTTTTCGCTTTTGATCCGAGAAAACCCCAAAGAAATCAAATTAGTGAAACAATCTTCGAATCTCTTAACTAATAGGGAATCCTTGTTTTCTTAGTGATTAAGGTGTTCACTGGCGAAAGCAGGATACTTTCCTTGTTTCCATTGCCACGTGCTGGTTGAGTCCTTTAGATTTTCTTTGTTATTGGGTCCGGTTCATTGGCCCTCGGATTTCATAATTATCTGAAAAAAATAGTATAATTTGATTATTTAAATTAAATTTATTCGTTAATTGATTTTTTAATAAATTAGGGTTAATATATGTTATTATTTGTTTATAATTTTCTTTAGTCATTGGCAACATATATACTTATAGACAAAAATAGTCGAATGTAGATTCTTTAAGAAGAACAATACTTTTTTATAAATGAGACCATTCAATAATTTTTTATCATTTAAACTTTAATTATTGGTCTATTTTTAAAAGAAATCTCAGTTTAATATTTTTTTAAAATTATATTTATTATATAAAGTCATTATTCACATACATGATTTGATAAATAACAGTTGATATTATCTTTGTAAAATAAAATGTTTAATTCCATTAACTTGTAGTGATTTGGATATAAGCTCTTAATAATTATCAGTTCACATGATTACTTGTATTCCTTATTTTTTTTAATTATCTGTTAAAAAGAGAGAAAAAAACTAAAATGTAAAAACAAGTAGATTACAAAGGACCAAACTATAATTTGATAAAAGAGTATAATTTTACAAGCAAAAGATTTAGACAATGAAGGTTGCTTGGAGAATATTTTTTAATATTTTTAAGGGGAAAAATTATGAGCCACAAAATATAATATAATTTTTTATTAATTTAAAAGTGATTATAAAATAATATATATTATAAGTATTCTCAATCATTTAATAATGAACGTTCAATCACATATATATATATATATATATATATATATATATATATATATATATATATATATATATATATATATATATATATATATACTCCTTAATGTTCAGGCTCACAACCTCTAAGAATAATATCAATTCTTTTAAAAATTGAGATAAAACTATTTGTACAAAATATAATATATTTTTAAATCGAGGAGTGGAATAGTAAAGTAATATTCTCAGCGAAAAGTAGGTTGTAAATGAGTTTTGCTCAATTTAATTCAAAAAATATAAAATTTAATGATTTGGCTCTAAAACTTACAAGTTTAAAATTTATAAAGTTTGATTTGAATTTAAAATAAAAAATTTGAAATTCAATGTGTCTCAAAAGTTCGTGAGTGTAAAGTTTTCAAGTTTAACATAAAATAAAAAATTAAAACTTGATTTGAACTCAAAAAAAACTTATATTTAAAATACTCTCAAAATTAATTTGATAGAAGCTCAAATTTAATCTTAAATTTTAACCTTATAAAAGTTCTATATTATATTTAAAATAAAGACATATAAATATCAATAATTTAATTTAAAAATATAAAAATTTAATATAATATTCTATGAGTTATTTATAAATTTTTGAATTAAATACCAAAAATTTATTTTTATTTGTTTAAAATTTAAATTAAACTCGAATCAAATTTATTTAATTTAAAAATTAATCCAACTTTAAGCGAATTAATCTTGAATGGTTTTGGGATGTCAAGTGTCGAACTCTATAACGCAAGTACGCAACTGATATAGCTGAATGCTAAAATCAAATCGCTTTGCTTCATCTCTAAACTGTCACTCTGTCATCGCTCATATTTCTCATTTTTGAGGAAAATTACTGAATTTTTCTCTCCTGAAAGAAACAAAGGGAAGATGAAGAATTTTTACTAGTAATAGACAGAGGGGACCGTGGTTTTTTCAGTTTTTGCGATGGCTTCAATCCCGGCTTCTTCGTCTCGAAATCTACTTTCCCGAGCAATCAATTTTCTTTCTTTACAAGATCGTTTTACCCTCCGTCGAGGCTTCCCGACTCCACTCTCTGCCGCTGCTCCAATACTTCTCCCGATAGTAATTCCTTTAGCTGGCGTTGGGACTCCGCTGTTCAAGACGTTATAAGGAATGTCATCAAGCGATTTGATTCCTAAACTGTCACTCTGTCATCGCTCATATTTCTCATTTTTGAGGAAAATTTACTGAATTTTTCTCTCCTGAAAGAAACAAAGGGAAGATGAAGAATTTTTACTAGTAATAGACAGAGGGGACCGTGGTTTTTTCAGTTTTTGCGATGGCTTCAATCCCGGCTTCTTCGTCTCGAAATCTACTTTCCCGAGCAATCAATTTTCTTTCTTTACAAGATCGTTTTACCCTCCGTCGAGGCTTCCCGACTCCACTCTCTGCCGCTGCTCCAATACTTCTCCCGATAGTAATTCCTTTAGCTGGCGTTGGGACTCCGCTGTTCAAGACGTTATCAGGAATGTCATCAAGCGATTTGATTCCTAAACTGTCACTCTGTCATCGCTCATATTTCTCATTTTTGAGGAAAATTTACTGATTTTTTCTCTCCTGAAAGAAACAAAGGGAAGATGAAGAATTTTTACTAGTAATAGACAGAGGGGACCGTGGTTTTTTCAGTTTTTGCGATGGCTTCAATCCCGGCTTCTTTGTCTCGAAATCTTACTTTCCCGAGCAATCAATTTTCTTTCTTTACAAGATCGTTTTACCCTTCGTCGAGGCTTCTCGACTCCACTCTCTGCCGCTGCTCCAATACTTCTCCCGATAGTAATTTCTTTAGCTGGCGTTGGGACTCCGCTGTTCAAGACGTTATCAGGAATGTCATCAAGCGATTTGATTCCTACATGAACCCTTTCCGTAACGACCCCAACACCGCTGGCGATACTGGAAATGGATGGCGTCGGAGAGACAAAAATGACGGTTGGGATTGGGATCGATGGAAAAGGCATTTCGAACAAGTCGATGAACAAGAACGCCTCCTTTCCCTTTTGAAGGTCAAAACGAATCTATGCTTCTTTATTGTCCCTTTTTATTGAAATAAAAAGCGTGAAAGTTAAATGGAATGTCTTTGGTTACAAATTATAAGATTTACTAACAATTTTTTTTTGTATTTGAACAGTCACAGTTACATGAAGCTGTACATAGAGAAGATTATGAAGATGCTGCTAGGTTAAAGGTCGCAATTGCAGCTGCTGCTACAAATGACACCGTTGGCAGAGTCATATCCAATTTAAACGTACGAATTCGATATCATTTTGGTAATTGAACTTTTTTTCCCGGAAAAAGAAAACAGATTATTTTATACTGGATGGTTAAGTAAATATGGTTTTGGTTTCAGGTTGGATGGTGGGCTGGTCTCTCAGATGATACCAATGATCCTTATGGTCTGATTATACGAATAACTGCTGAGCATGGCAGATATGTCGTTAGGAGTATTAGTCCTAGGTAATCACTCCCATGTTTCATATATATGATAGATAATTTGTATGCTCTGTTCACATATATATTCCATAATAATAGTATGTGATTAACAATTAACACGAGGATCATTTCTTTTCTTGTGTGGAAATTTCGTGTTGGCTTCCGTTTTCTTCTGCTTCTTTCTTGGACTTACGGATTTCTAATTTGAATGGATGTTTCTGAGTTCATGTTAGACTGATACCTTCCTTTCAGGCAACTCTCTACTGCACCAGTTGGTGTACCCTTATTTTAGATCTTTCTTACTGTAAATAAGAAAGGTGAATACAAACAACAGGTATCTTTTGTTTATGTTCTTTTCGAATTGCTACATAATTTTCTGATGTTTGAATTATGTGACTTGGACTGCAGCATTTTCTGTTAAATAATCAGTGACACTGGTTTAACGTAGTCACCCAGGTTCTCTATGTTTGTGTTCATGGTTACAATAATGATAATACTTAAGCCGACAATTCTCTTATTTGTTTTGTTTTGATGGTCCTTTGTTGGAATAATGATAGTAAATCAAGTCTTCTCTCTAGCTTTGATGATTTTTTTATCAGTTTTTTTGTCCTATGATTTTTTTGTGTATTGTTTATTATATGTGTTTGATGTGGTACAGTAAGCCAGAGGTGCACACAAACACAGACACACACATCTGTGTGTGTTCCAGGAATCCTGCTTAGCACTCATCGTTTTGTATTCAATTTGTATTAGCATTTAATTTTTTTACAAATGCAACCTTATTCTGTGTTTTTCAGGTTGTGTATTTGAAAAGAAGTAGTATGTTCGAAGATACTTCAGTGATGTCTTCTAAAACATCAGGAGCCACTGGCCGTTCGGGTCCATCAGGCTCCCTTGAAGAAAGTGATCTTTTTGTTGTGAGTACCGAACATGATGAAGATGGTGATTTTGAAGAAGAAGAAGATGATGATGATGCAGATGATGAATCTGGTGTGGGTGAGGGGCTAACTAGTTTTCAAAATATATTGCGTGACATGATTCCTGGTGTAAAGGTCAAGGTCTTGAAAGTCAGTGCACCTGGGAAAGTAGACCAAGATTTTATATCTAAGGTGATTGAACAGATAACAGATGAAGAAGATGAAGAAAAAGATGCTGAGGTGGAAAGTATAGAATTGAATGATGAAATTAAGAGTGAAAATGACAGAGAGGGATCTGTTTGAGATGGATGGTGATGGTGGAGTTATTGGTCGTGATAAGCGAGGCGAAATTGCAGTTAAAGTTGTTGTTGGTGGTCTTGTGCAAAAACTTTCCAGTAGTGTGCCAGCAGTAGAATCAGTTAGAGTGCCCGCTAAGCTAGTGAAAAAGGGGCGCCTAACATTTTCCTTTTCTATAGAAACAGACGTAAACAAGCAAGATTCTAGTCTCAAGACAAAGGGTTCAATGAATAGAAAATCAAATGCTCACAATCAACATAGCATGGATAACATAATGCTTGATCTTGCTGAATTTGTTGGCAGTGGTAAAGAGAAGATACCTTTGAAGGTAGGTTCAATACATTAAATAAACGCATTAAGTAAGTTTTTTAGAATGAGGCATATAGGTCGTTTCTCATTGAAGTTTCTACTCTATGATGCTTGTTTTGCTAACTAATTTCCACCACGTAGGTGCTGAAAGATGTCGGCAAATTAATAAATCTCACTCTCAATCAAGCTCAAAAT